GTCCTAGCCCTGCAATGTTTCAGACTGGGGAAGTGAAACCGAATTTGTGGCCCTGAGTAGATGAACTTTGCGTGCTGGGTTTCAGTTGTGAGGAAAAGAGAGTCTGGGAAACTGTGTCACCCTAAGTTTGTTTTTTTGTGTTTTACAGACTTGTGGGACACAGCAGCACAGGAGAGGTTCCAGAGCATGCACGCGTCCTACTGCCACAAGGCTGACGGGTGGATCGTGGTAAGGGCGGTGTCTCAGCTGTGACCTGATGCGGTTTTGGCTGATCACCCTCCCAGGTGACACTTGGCCCCAATGTCATCTTTTGTGATTACGCTGCCTTCTATTTCTTGTCTCTTCCAGTGGCTTACAAACTGCCCCATGCTGTTCTTTCTTATCTCACCAGATGAAACCAGCGTAGCTGGGTATGTTTAGCTCTCTTGTGGCAGCGCTTTTACAGTATTCCCTGGATTTGCCATCTTCTAAATTTCCTTCCTTCTGTCACTGCATGGCACCCGTCAGGTGGAACACACAACTGGGTGTTCCTGTGTAGAGGCAGCCCTTTTGGAGGTGATGCGAGGGAGAGGGCGCCCCTATCCTGTTCTGTGAGGTGACAACTGGGTTATGTAGTGCAAGGATGTTGTGGGGTGTTTGGCAAGGGTGCTACATGAGACGTTCTCTGCCCTTTCTGTTTTCCCACACTTGGTGCTTCCCGTTTATTAGCTCAAATTGGTCTTGTGTCCTGCCTCGTAACCCGCTGAAGTCTCTTGGTTTGTGCTGTTGCTCTAACTTTCCACGGCTTCTCGTCACTTGTGAGCATCAGTCACCTTCACTGCTGTTTGAGTGGTGAAAATGGAGAAGCCTCACATCTGACCCAACTTAGCGGAACAGATCTTGCGCAGTGCTTGTTCGCTGTCACGGGTGATAGAGTGTTTGTCCTAGCACAAAATGAGAATGGGAAGAAAAATAAGGGACCACAGTCTCCTGCTCTCCTCTGTCAAGCACAGTGTCAAGCAGAGGCTTCCCTGCTGGCATCCATGGTCGAAACCATCGCAGCTGTGAGCAGCCGTGTGTACCTGAACAGGGTGTCTGTATCCTGCTGTAGCCTACAGGAGTTCATTTGGTTGCGTGGGTGGTTTAGTGCGCGACTGAGCTTACCTGATGACGGCCTTTCCTGTCAGATGTGCCGAGCCAGCCTTGTCCCCACTGGCTGCACAGACCGTACAGGAATGTGGCCTTGGTGCTGACAGCCACGTTGAGACAGCAGCTCTGTCAGACCTGGGGCTGTTGCTGCTGCATCAGCCCCTCCTGTATATACAAGGTAGATTTGTTCCAAAACTGGAATGCAGCTGGCCTGCTGGGGTAGGGGTAGCAGGACTGAATGTCCCGTTCAGTGAAAATACAGAGCAGTGGGGTCATTTGTACTCTGTGAGCGTGCCCTTGGCTCATGGGAATGCTGGTAACGTGGCCTGGGGGCAGTGGGGAGTTCTGGTTAAAAAGGCCAAGCTGCAGGGAGAGGCACGACCAGTGCCGGCAGTGGAGTCCAGGCCACGCAGGGACATGGCAAAAGTCTTAGGAAGGTGCCTGGAAAATATTCATAGTTGCTGCACAGCAGGTGAACCGATGTGCTCTAAGCTGCAAAGCATTATTCATTTATAGAGCATTGGTATCCATCTGCCGTTGAGTCAAGCACCATGGATAAACCAGCACCAGTTCTTTCCTTGTGTCTTCCTGTCCATGGTTTGCTGATGGTGTTGCTTTTAAAACCCCACAGCTTTAGGGGAGGACGCTCCTGTCCTCATACTGCAGCGAGGAGGCCTTGACAGCTCACTGAGGCACTGGTCTCCATCTGCTCCTCCACTCCTGCGTACATCGGCACTGTGCCCGGAAGTTCAGTTGGCCCTTTTACTTTTTGTCTGCTGCAGATGGCACCGATGTGGAGAAGGTAAAACACCCCTATTTGGCTCAGCGCCCTTGAGACCCCTATAGAGTCCAAGGCGACGGAGAGTGCGGTAGGCACAGAGTGCAGAAAGTGGGCTAACGTGTCTGTTTGGCCACTTGTGAGGTACTGGTGGCTGCCTGTGCCGCTGTGTTCGGCTGGTAGCACATCCTAGCTGGCAGGTGTCAGTGGGACCCCACCGGTAGCTGGCACAGATGTTGTGAGTGTGGATGGCCCCGCTGTACCAGTGGCTGCTGTTACAGCCCAGCCGCACCCCACAGGCAGAACGTTCAGGGGCTGTGGGGGGGGTCCTGTCCCAGCATCTGTCCCCCTGCTCGGAACCCCTGCCCCTTGCCAGCGCCCGTTGCCGGCGGCTCTGTGACATCAGCACTGCGGGCAACAAGAGCACTGCGGGTGCTGCGTTGGGGATCAGTGGTAGGAAAAGAGCCTCGGCTCTGGAAGCTGCTGTGTGGCAATGGCAGCCATGCATCTGCTCCCCCCCCTGGCGCCGCCGGGCCTGTGGTT